TAGATTTAATACTATTTTGCACTTGTTTTAACAGTAAACAAATTTGAACATTCCTTGTTTCAATAAAAGGTACTGTTTCAATTTCCTGTAGAGCTTGATCTACATAATGACTATCTGTATAGAGATTGAAGGGTGTTGAGGTCAGAAGCTGGAACACTGCAGCTACAGCACAAAGTTCCACTACCTGTGCTGAAGCAGGGGAAGTTTGAAAAGAAAATAACTTTGCCCATAAATCACATAAGCTGCTTGTCCATTAGAAGAACCATCAGTAAATACCATACCAACTCATGCATAATAGCAAATTGTAAATATTATTCCTTTTTTTTTTTGGATGCAGCATCTCCCTGTAGCCCCAGCTGTCCTGGAACTCACTATGTAGACCAGGCTGGCCTTGAACTCATAGAGATACGCCTTACTCTGTCTTAAAGGTGTGTGCCACCACACCCATCTTTTTGTTTCTCTGAACTTGATGTCCCAACTGGCCACACCCGAAGCAGCTCCCCCCAGGCCCTGCTGCCTGTCCTTTTGAAAAGGCCTAATAGCAGCTTGACAGGCTCCATTAGCATTTTCAAACGCAAGCTGTTTCACTAAGAGCAAACCTGCTTCACTATCTCTCAGCAAGTGACCGGCAGTTTGCAGTAGTCGAGCCACGAAATCCTGATATGGCTCATCCTGACCTTGCCTGATCTTAGACAAATCCTCAGTCTGCCTACCACTAGACGGCAGTTTATACCAGCTCTTCGGGCTGCAGCACTGATCTGTGCATAGGCCGCAACATCATACTGCAACTGCTGAACAATATCCCTATATTGTCCTTCACCAGCTAACATATCAAAATCTATGGGAATATTTTGCACTCTATTGGTATTTGCTGTCACCTGGCACTGTTCCTCATATTCAGATTTCCACGGACAGGGATTCTAACAAAGCCTGGGTAAAAGGGGCAGTGGGACCATACTGAGCACAAGCAGTCTTTAGTTCCTTAAGCTGCTTAAAAGGCACAGGTGCATGAGACCGCACCCTGTTGCCCTGCTGATCAACTTGCTCAGAAACTGGGAAGACTTGAAATCCATGCACTGACTCTCTTCTCTCTGCTGTGGCCCCAATGGCCTGTTGTAATGGACATTGCATGGTTCTAAGCGGGTACCAGATTCCTGCCGAAGGCTCCTGAGCCATGGCAATCATGGGAGGCGCAACAGCGTTTGGTGGGGGTGTTGGGATGGTCCTAATTCTTTTCTCCTTGTTCTTTAACAGTTCCTTCTTCACAGCATCTAACTCTGTCCTTAATTGCTTAATTTCCCAGTGATCAGGACACTTCTCCTGATCATACTCAACCGTCTCCTCTCCTAGGGCAGACTCATCCTCAGGGTCAAGAGATCCCTCTTCTAGCCCCAGACGGGGGTCCTCATAATAGGGTGGATCTGGCTCTGGTGGAGTGGAAGGTTTGGTTTCACTTTTATCCCAGCCGTGGCTTATCAGATTCTCCTCTTTAGTCTCAGCCTTTGCTCCTTGGGTCCCAAGCATATTCCTTGCAAAAACTGAGTGACTATTTGCTTGCCCCATCTTCTCCCAAGATAAATACTCACCACTCCCCAATTGTACCGAGTGCACTCACTTAACTTCTCCAGCGGTGTCCTACACTTTATCCCCTACTTTTCAGGTCCCTGTTCCAGGCGCCACTTGCCGGTGCCAGCTGGCCAAAATGGACAGTACCTGAAAGGGGGAGTGAGGATTGAAAGAAAGGAAAGGAGACAGAAAAGATGCTTCTTGGGAGGGCTCACAGTGAATACGAGCAGCCTGGATTTATTTCAGTTCTGTCTTTTTATACAGAAGAACTCAATTAGTTACAATTGCTGTATTTCCCCACCTGTATCTGAGGGTCAGGGAGCGTCAGATCAAAGGCTTCCTCAATCTTTTTGTTTACCACTAATGCCTCAAGGTCAGGTATTGTGAAGCTCTCCAGAAAACTCCTTCCTCCTGAATGGGCAGATTAAGTACTGGTTTGCATGACACAAACTCAGTAAACGAGGCTGTCAACAGCTCAATGATTAGCGGCTCCCAACACCTGGGTTCAGTCTCCAACACCTTTAAAATCTGGAATGCATCATTCAAAATACTTTGAGATTCCATTTCATTTTAGCATGTCTTAGTTACTTTACCATTGCTGCAACAAAATGCCTGACAAAAGTAACCTAAGGAAGGAAGGGTTTATTGTGGCTCAGAGTTTGAGGGCACAGTCCATCATGGTGGGAAGGCATGGTGGCAGGAGTGTGAGGCAGCTGCTCACATTGAATCCACAGCCAGGAAGCAGAGAGAGAGGAATGCTGGTGCTCAGTTCACTTTCCTCTGTTTATTCAGTCCAGGACCAGGAAGCAGAGAGAGAGGAATGCTGGTGCTCAGTTCACTTTCCCCTGTTTATTCAGTCCAGGACCGCACCCCACATGGGACTTCCCATGTCATTCATGTAAGCAAGATAATGCCTCACAGTTGTGCCTGGAGACTTGACTTCTAGGTGATTTCTGATCTTGTGAAGTTGACAGCACTAACCTTCTCAGCATGGATTATTAAATTATGAGAAATGCCACCAGGATCTTGATCAAGATGTCAGCAAATCGGTAGATAGTTTTAGGTTGTGTAACATCTTGATATTTATTCTGCCAGTCACAAGCATCAGATGTCACTACATTTATCTGACTCTCCTTTAATTTCCTTTGGCAGTATTTTATAGATCTATGTGCTTGTTTTTACTTACATGTTTCTAATAATTATTGTTTTCATTGTCCATTGTTAATGAAGAGGGATGCATTTAATTTAGTATCCTATAATTTTTTAATATTTTTTTTCTCTTTTTGAGACTGGGTCTTTCTGTAGCCCAGGCTGACCTAGAACTCTCTATGTAGACCAGGCTAGCCTCCATCTCAGAGCTCTACCTGCCTCTGCCACCTAAGTGCTAGGATGAAAACTTTTCTAAATTTTTAAAGAATTTTTAAATTTTATTTTTACTTTATGTGAGTGTTTTCCTTACATGGATGTAAGTGCACCTGTGCATTCAATGCTTGTGAAGGCCAGAAGAGGGCATTGGACCCCCTGGAACTGGAGTTACAGAAGGTCTTAGCCAACATGTGAGTGCTGGGAACCAAACCCAGGACCTCTGCTATAACAGTCAGTGCTCCTTGCCAGGCATGGTGGTGCACACCTTTAATCCCAGCACTTGGGAGGCAGAGGCAGGTGGATCTCTGTGAGTTCAAGGCCAGCCTGGTCTACATAGTGAGTTCCAGGACAGCTGGGGCTACAGGGAGACCCAGTCTCAAAAGAAGACCAAAAAAAAAAGGTCAATGCTTCTAACTGCTGAGCCATCTCTCTAACCCCAAGATTTTTTTTTTTTGTCTTTTTTGAGACAGGGTCTCCCAGCTGGCCTGAAACTCACTGTGTAGACCAGACTGGCTTCAAACTCACAGAGATCTGCCTGCCTCTACCTCCCAAGTGCTAGTATTAAAGTCATGTGCCACTGTGCCTGGGAAACCCCAAGATTTTTTTTTTAATTGATGTGTATTAGGCCAGGTGTGGTGGTGCACACCTTTAGTCCCAGCACTTGGGAGGCAGAGGCAGGCAGATCTCTGTAAGTTGGAGGCCAGCCTGGTCTACATAGTGAGTTCTATATAGTGGGGCTACAGGGAGACCCTCTCTTAAAAAGACAACAACAACAAAAAAATTGATGTGTATTCGTGTATATCTGTATATGGGTATATGCATGTCAGCGACGTGCCCTTGAAGGCCAGAAGAGGGCATCAGATCCTCTGCAGCTCGGGTTGTAGGATGTCATAAGCCCCCTAGTGTGGGTCCTGGGAACCAAATTGGAGCCTTCTGCAAGAACAACAAGTGTTCTTACCCATTGAGTCTCTCTAACATCAATAACAGTTTTATCTGACAAAAAAAAAAAGATTCAACATGGCAATGGGGTGAAGTCCGTTTAATACTGTTGAATGAACCTGCCAGTGTTTTGTTGGGGATTTTTGCATCAGTGTTGATATAGGTTTGTGATTTTCTTTTCTGGAGTGGTTTGACCTGGTGTTCTTTAACATTTACTTTTTTGAGACTTGGTCTCATGTAGCACAGGGTGGCCTTGAACTCACTGTATAATTGGGGACTGCCACTCCTATCCTGCTGGGTTTATAGGCTTGTGCCACTCAGCTCTAGTTTTTTGAGGTAGTATAAGATTTGCTTTTGGTTGGTTGGTTGGTTTGGTTTTTTTTGTTTTTGTTTTTGTTTTTTTTTTGAGACAGGGTCTCCCTGTAGCCCCAGCTGGCCTGGAACTCACTATGTAGACCAGGCTGGCCTCAGTCCCACAGGCCTGTGCCTCCCAAGTTCTGGAATTAAAGGGGTGGACCACCACACCTGAAAAATATTTTTAAAAATATTTATGTGTATGAGTATATTGCTTGCATGTATATAAGTATACCCATGTTGTGCAGGGCCTGTAGAAGTCAGAAGAGGGTCTTGGATCCTGTGGAACTGGAGTTGGACAATTGTTAACTGCCAAGTGGGTGTTGGGAACTGAACCTGGGTCCTCCAAAAGGGAAACCAGTGCTCTTAACTGTTGAGTCATCTCTCCAGCCCCAGAATATTTTTCTTTTTGTTGTTATTATTAGTGGTTTTCAGACAGGGTCAGTTGTGACAGTCCAGTCAAAGCAGGTCTTTTGCTGTGACCCCCCGCCTTAGATACCCAGGAGGGGATCACTGGCAGGAGCTCCCGACCTGGCTTATAGGTCTTCACCAATGCAGTTATTTCAGGAGGTCACCCACTTGCTCTATTATCCTATTCATCAGAAATACCTTAGGGTTGGAGAGATGGTCTAGCAGTTAAGAGCATGGACTGCTCTTGCAGAGGACCTGAATTCTGTTCCTGACACCCAGGTTGGGTGATTCACAACCACTTGTAACTCCAGCTTCAGGTGATCCAACACCCTCTTCTGGCTTCCGAAGGCATTGCTCCCACATTGCAGTGTATACACACACACACACACACACACACACACACACACACACACAACTAGGCTAAGTCTGGGGGCGGGGGAATGCCAGGCCTGGTGGCGTACGCCTTTAATCCCAGCACTAGGGAGGCAGAGGCAGGCAGATCTCTGTGAGTTCAAGGCCAGCCTGGTCTACATAGTGAGTTCCAGGACGGCTGGGGCTACAGAGAGACCCTGTCTCAAAAAGACCAAAAAAACAAAAGAGGACAAAAAAAGCTGGCTGTGGTGGTACACACTTGATTCCAGCACTCCTGAGACAGAGGCAGAATCTCTGTGAGATCGTGACCAGCCTGGTCTACATAGAGAGTTCCAGGACAGCCAGGGCTGCATAGTGAGACCCTATCTCAAAACAAACAAACAAACAAAACCCCCCAACAGCAAGGGGCTTGAGAGATGGCTCAGCAGTTAAAAGCACTGGATATTCTTGCAGAAGACCCGGGTTCGATTTCCAGCACCCACATAGTGACTAACAATTATCCTTAACTCCAGTTCCAGGGGAATCCAATACCCTCTACTGACCTCCTTGGGAATTGCATGACACAGGTGCACTAACACACATGCAGGCAATACACCCATACACATAAAGTAAAATAATAATAAATAAATAAACAATTTTTTTATTATGTAGCATCTGTGAAACCCTGGGTTCCAAACGTAGCAAAAACAAAAAAACAAAACAAAGCATCAAAAACACCCTCTTTGTTTCTTTATAGTAAAAGGACTGTGTGTGTGTGTGTGTGTGTGTGTGTGTGTGTAGTTTTTCCTTTTTTCCTCCTTTTTCTCCAAAAACCAGAAAAGCTAAAAGGGGAGGGGTGAGGAAGGATGCTTGGCTTCTGACCAGTGCTTTTGTGTGTTTGCAGGTCTAGGGGAGGGGCTGAGTGAAGAGAAACCCCTGTGCCCCTGGAGAGAGACTCAGGTGGGCCCTGGAGAAGCCGAATCACTCAGGAGAGCTGTGGACGAACATTTCTGCTTTTGCTATGGTAAGTCCTCTTGGCAGGTGGGCATGCTTGTTCTCTCTTTTTCTATACTTACCCTTGTGTGGGGGGTTCTGATGTGAGTGTGTATGGGTTCACAGGTGCCACAGGACACATGTAGCAATCACAAGACATGTTTCAGAAGTCTTTTCCTTCCTTTAACCATAGGCTCAAGGGATCAAACTTAGGACCTCCTGCTTTTACCCACTGAGCCATCTCACCAGCCCTCAAGTACTCTTAAATATTCACCTGGGATTGGACAGTAGTGTGATGACTTAAGATACGGTGAACTCAATCATTTATTTCTGTATTTATATGTGTATTTTTGTACTGTTAGGACTGAAATCAAAACTTAATGCATGTTAGACAATGCTTTACCACTGAGCCACACCCCAGCTCATCACTGGGGGATTCTAGGCAGGTGCTCTACGACTGAACCACACCCCAGCCCCTCACTGGGGGATTCTAGGCAGGTGCTCTACCACTGAACCACACCCCAGCCCCTCACTGGGGGATTCTAGGCAGGTGCTGTACCACTGAACCACACCCCAGCCCCCCACTGGGGGGATTCTAGACAGGTGCTCTGCCACTGAACCACACCCCAGCCCCCCACTGGGGGATTCTAGTTCCATATCCAGCACTGTAAGAGAGAAAAATAACTCTATCACGCCTTTAATCCCAGCACTCGGGAGGCAGAGGCAAATGGATCTCTGTGAGTTCAAGGCCAGCCTGGTCTACATAGTGAGTTCCAGGACAACTGGGGCTACAGGGAGACCCTGTCTCAAAAAGACTAAAAAAAAAAACAAAACAACAACAACAAAAAACCTCTAAATAATGCAAACTGTGCAGCAGGAGAGGGGCAATTGGTGCAAATGTGAGCACAGAATAATAGTATACATATAGGGAAATGTCATAATAAAGCTAGGTGGTGCAGCACACTTGTGATTCCAGCACTCGGGAGCCTGAGGCAGGAGGATCACTGCAAATTGGAGTCCAACCTGGCTTCATAGTGAGATTTCGGGTGGTAAGAGCTATATAGCATTAAAACAACAGCAAAAACAAAAACAAAAACAAAACAGAAGAAAAACACCATAATGGAACCCATAATTTTGTATGCCAACTTAAAAAAAAAAAAAAAAACTGTAAAAGGGGAAAAGGGGATAAAGGGTTTGCTCTGTCGTTAAGGGCATAAACTGCTCTTCCAGGAGACCCAAGTTCAGTTCCTAGCAACTATAAAAGGACAGCTCACAACTACCTGTAACTCCAGCTCCAGGGAATATGATGCCCTCTTCTGGCCTGTGCAGGTACTGCACTCATGTGCACAAATCCTCTTAAAAATAATGCTGAGTGCACACCTGTAGTCCCAGTACTTGGGAGGCAGAGGCAGGCGGATCTCTGTGAGTTCAAGGCCAGCCTGGTCTACATAGTGAGTTCCAGGACAGCTGGGGCTACAGGGAGACCCTGTCTCAAAAAGACCAAAAAAAATTTTATTTATTATTTTTTTTTTTATATATGAGTGTATTGCCTACATGTATGTAAGTGTACTTCTGTAGTGCAGTGCCCACAGAGGTCAGAAGAGAGCATCGTATTCTCCCGGAACTAGAGTAACAGATAGTTGGAAGTTGCCATGTGGGTGCTGGGAAATGAATTCAGATCCTCAGTGGTCTTAACTGCTGAGTCATCTCTCCAGCCCCTGGAACCCTATTTCTAATAGAGAAGTGACATCTGAGGCCCCAAGACACCCCATGATGGAGGTCCCCAATCATAGGCACTTGTGGGTCAGAAATGCATGAAGCAGCCTGGGACTGCAAGCAAGACTCCTTGAAGCCCAGATCATAGCACTGCTGCTATTACTATTAGCATTAATTTTTAAAATTTTATTTATTTTTATTTGTATAAGTATTTTGTTTGTGTATATATCAGTACACCATGTGTGTAATGCCTGTGGAGGCCAGAAGAGGTAATTCTTGGAACTGGAATTACAGATGGTTGGTAGCTGCCATGTGGGTGCTGGGAACCAAACTGGGTCCTCTGCAAGAGCAGCCACTAAGCCATCTCTTTTGCCTCAGCATTTTCTTTTTTTTTTTTGATCTTTCTGAGACAGGGTCTCCCTGTAGCCCCAGCTGACCTGGAACTCGCTATGTAGACCAGGCTGGCCTCAAACTCAGAGATCCGCCTGCCTCTGCCTCCCAAGTGCTCAGCATTATTATTTTTTTTTCTTTTTGAAGCTCAGAAAACTGTTATTGAATATGTCAATGCTGATGTAATGAAATGCTTCTTCTAAGTATGTGGTTATTAAATAAATAATTTAAAAAAAAAGAAATGGGGTGAGCTAGAGAGATGGCTCAGTGCTTAAGAATACTGGTTGTTCTTGCAGAAGACCCGGGTTTGAATCCCAGCACCCACATGGCAGCTAACAACTGTCCGT